TATTTATGCATACAAGAGCTGGGGTACAGGCCAGAGATGCGGGGGGTGAGAGGATTCAGCAGAGACAGGGTGGGGAACAGAACAGGCAGACTGACTGAAATACACTGCTGAGGGGTGCAGTGGGCAAATCAGGAGAGGTCTGTTGCACCATGTGGGTTGCTCCCTGGCTAGCTGGGGATTGAACTCGTGTTGGAGAGGTTGCAGATAGCTTCATAGGTTGCATCATAACCCCTTGTGCCACCAGGGAGGCCCAAATCTTGGAGTTTAGAGAGAAGAGTTTTTAAGTAAGATGGTTGGAGTCAATAAACAGCTAAAAAGAAGATAAGAGGCCTCAGTCTAACCATCCTTTTCTGCATCACCACTACCTTTTGGTACCCCAAATTGGGGTATAGGCACAAAATTATGGATGAACAGAAAAGGTTTCGTTATAGCCAGCAACCAGGAGTTAACTGAGATTTCCCTCCCTCCTTCCATTTGGAATGATTCTGAGGTTTTCTAGAATTGCCAGAAATATTTTCTGTTCATGCTAAATAGTTGATACTAAAATATTTTTTGTTCGTGACAAAAACTTAAGATCTTTGAAAAGATTCATTTTCTACAATAACCCTGTGACTGACATTTTAGCCAAATCAAAAAATGAAAGAGAAAATTTAGAAATTAAGGTTTTATGGGTTAAGAGTTCTACTTAATGTTGACATTAACACTAATGAACATAAGGAAACCGTCTCTATAAGAAAGACAGAGGGAGAAAGAAGTCTGGTCTTAAAACAGACTGGTTTTCTCAGGATGGGAATGGGAAAAGGAGTAAATAAATATTAAGAGAATATTTTTTTCAAACTAAATAAAGTACATGAATTGTTATAAAAATTAAGCATTAATACCAGTAGTGTACTTATGAAAAGGAGCTGCTAAGCAAATAAATATTTGCTGCTAAAGGGTCTTAGGCCTGGTGCAATAAATAATCCAATGCAATTGTAAATAACAAGTTTGCTTACTTGATAAACCTTTCCTTAGAGAGCTTTCCGTCTAAGTTTTAGCTTATCTAAACAAGGTTACATTTTAACAAGGTCGGATAGCCAGCCAAGCTGAGCTTTCTCTCAAAGGACATGCCCGAATGTCCATCTTTCCCCCTTTGTCTAGCAGTTTTACAGCAAATAGTTGTGCTTGCTAACCAATGTTATCAATGTAAGACGGTTGTGTATAAAAGAAACCCTTTGTCTCTAGATAGGTGCTCAGACCTTACAGGACTATCCAGGTCTGAGACCTCATGCATGAGTAATAAAGCTTCTCCTCACCTCACCATTCCTGAAGTACCGCTAGTTTTTCCCTTGCCTGGGTAAAAGGCTAGAATTTATTTCTGCAACACTTATGTGAAACCAAGCTTTGGTTTCTCTCATTACTAAAGGGACAAGAATATTCTTAAACCATGGCCAACTTTTAATAATAAATTGGAAAATGTTTAAATAATCTAAAGATCTAGTACTCTCTTACCCTCAGGACAGGGATGGAGCATCACCCTTAACTAAGATATTTCAATGAGAGCTAGTTTCCTAACACTCACCGGCATGCACCACGACAGAGAGGCAAATTCTTTTAAGTGGAAATCCTGGACACTTACTTCTGAATACTCTCGTGTACAGAATGGAGGAGCCCTGGGAAAAAAAGACTAAATAAATGCAGGCTGGATTCCGCAATGAAACCCTAGAAGAGAAAAAAAGTTGTTGGTTTAAAAATTGGAGAAAGTCAAATATGGCCCATTGTTTAGCTGATAGTATTGTGTCGATGTTAATTTTCTGCATAAGGAGATGGGGAAGAGAGAAAGCAGATTTGGAGACACAGAGAGCTAAGAATGAAGCAGAAACCCAGGGAAAAACAGAAAGGAGAGATGAGAAAAACAACCCAGCTTTGTCCTTCAAACCTTGCCATTGGATTTGAGATTTGTTTTTTTAGCCTCCTTTCAAAAAATTCCCTTTTTGTGTAATTCAGTTGAGGCTGGGTTTTTGTTAAGTGCAGCCAAATGTACCATAATAAAGTCACTTGTTGCCGTCTAAGCCTAAAATGGCTGCTCTGCTCTTAGTGAAGTCTGCAGGGGGTGCTGCTAATGAGAACAAGGCTGATGTGCTCGCTTGACCTATCAAGGGGAAAGGAGTCAGAATATGCCACCCCCAAATATGTCATGTTGGGATTAATCTGATTTGAAGGCAATTGAGATACATTAGACATAGGAAGATGTCTCTGCCCTCTTCCTTCTGCCTCAGAGCAGGGCATAAATTTGCCCGTGGCGATATCCTCCCTTCCGTACAGGAAGAGAACGATTGTTATTACCTACAACAGAGGTGGCACCAAAATGAGCGTGCATAAACAAACCTTGCTCGATAACCCCATCTACTTCCCCCACATATTTTCTACTCACTTTCCACAACTCATCTTCCTTAGAACCCCAAAACCCCTCTTCTTTGCCCGGCTATTGCTCCACAATGTATGATCTTTTGTTAAAATGGTAAAAAGCCCCCAAATCTGATCTCTTCTTTGGATTTTGGTGGGTCTGTTAATCCTAAGCAGCCTGTTTGGCCACCATTTTTGTTACCTATGGTTCTGCATTCCTAAATACGGTCAGATCTGCTTGATCAATCAGTTACAGGAGCCCAACCCTACAAAAAGTGCCTTTCAAATCAATCAAGAGCGGAAAGCTTGATCACCCTGGGAAGGGTAAGCATCACGAGGGATGACCACGAATGCCCAGGGGGCTGTTTACTGATATATAACAATGGACCCCAGAAGCTGATCAGTGGAGCGCCTTGTTGATAAGCTTGAAATGATGGCTGGGGGTCTAGGGCTTGATTGTAATCACATAACAAGTCATCAAGCAGATGAGAAGTGCCTGGGGTCAGACTGATGACCCCTGAAATTATAGATGACATAGTACATTTTTTAGTTTCACCTCCTCCGTTTCTCTTTGTTCTCCTTCCCCACACAACTGATGCTGTATGATTATTTGAAGAATAAAAAGTCCAAGATCTTGCTCAGTCAACAGTATCCTGCATTATGGAGCCTGTTCCATGACTCCCATTTCTTTATCAGTGTGATGTTGCCGATGCAACAGGTTTTCACTTCTTTGGTCATTCACGAAATAGCTTCATCTTCAAACTGGAAATAAGTTGACTCTCACAGTGCTGAGCATCATATCTGGTGTGGCAATGACATGAGGGGGAAATGGTGCACTTCTTCATGGTTTTATTTTTTGAAAGTACACTTTCCCTGCACCAAAGGTTTATTTAATTGCACTATCAGAACATTATTCAGGATGTCTCTCGGTGTCCCTTAGAGGTTCTCAACCTCATCAGCATATTGGAGCCCCTGGGAAATTTAATGAATCTGATATTTGGATTCTACCCTCCCAGAGATTCTGAGTTAATTGCTTTGGGAAGTTTTAAAAACTCTTGAGGTGAGTCTCAATTATAGCTAATGTTGAGAATCACTGATGCAAATAGAATCCTGGTAACCCCACTGCCCCCTGGTCCTTCAGACTTGCCCGGATATGCTCAGACATGTCTAAATCCTAGGTGAACATGGTGATAGGCTTGTTACTATAGAACATCTAGGCTCTTGTGTTCAAAGAAATTGCTGAGCTTTTTCTCTTGCACGCAATAAGGCTGTGCTCACATATACTGACTTAACCATACACTATATGTACATGAAAATTCCCCCCCCCCTTTAAAATACAAATGCTAAAAACACAACCATCTTGTCAACCCTGCACATCCCTTGTTGACAGCTGTCAACTAATAAGGACAAGAACGTTGCTGTAAAGGAGAGAACAGAGATTTTAACTGCTAAGGTGTGTTCAGAGTTCTCACATTCAGGACATAAAAATGTCTCATGCCATATAATATTTAGTGATTGCATGATAATCACTAAAGCAATCACAAAGCATTACTCATAGAACACTTGAGATATTAGGAAGCCAAGAGACTTTGTCGTTGAAGAGGAATAGAAATGAGAATTTGGTGATATTGGAGACAGACACCCAGGTCTAGATTGGCCAGAAGAGCAAACTCTGCTTCTGTTCAGGAGCATGGAAGAAACCCACTGAGGGCCGTGGTCAGGAATCTTGATACAACTCCAGCAGCAGTGAGAAATCATCACCAAGTTGAGCCAAGGAGGATGGATTTACGATGAAGAGGCAAGTGTATGCAGGGAGAACACATAGCAGGAGAAAAGTGTGGACAGCTGCCCCAAAGCTGGGGTCCTTCAGGATTTCCATTGCTCTGTCTCTAAAGTTACCAAGAAAAATCACCCCAAGTCCTTTGGGCAGCTTAAGTTGTGAGGAGCTAGAGGTTCACTGGGTTTCCCCTGAAACCCTTGCTCAGTCAGCTGACACCTGGGTCTGCGGTCAAGCACTATGAAAAATATCTCCCTCCAGAGGAAGTGGGGACTTCTCGCATCCTCTCGCTGTCAGATGAATCATTTAGATGGAAAACTGAAGCCTACTCAGGTAAAAAGATATCTGAACTGCAGGTCAGGATGACAATCCTGTTATATGACTCCCCGCAACCTTTCAGGGTATGTGGGGGTGTTTTAAAAACATAAGATTTTCATTCAGTCAGTGTTTCCTAGCAACCACACACACAAAAAAATCTGTCTTTCTGATGTCAGTGAGCACCAGCCCAAGGATGCTCGAGCACATCTCCAGGAGCAGGGAAGAGAAAAGAGCCCTGAAATCGGGGGCTGGCTGGTGAGAGATCCTGAAAGGGGAGTTGGTTAAGAGGTGGGCATTTAGTGGAACCCAGTTTGAGAGAGCTAAATGGCAGATGTAGGGGAGTGGAAGGGCAGGAACCTGCAGGGAGTTTGCAGATATTTACGGTGTGATATTCCTAGAGAATCTGGGGCTTTGAATTCTGAGGGTTTTTCTCTGAAATAGCTAATGCCTAAAGTCGCTGATGTCTTTCCTGTCGTTCTTTTGTGTGTTTTTTCCAACCAGTCTTGTTTCAGATAAAGCTCTATAGACAAAAAGAAAGGGTGACTGACTGAATTGAAATTCAAACTGAGGGCCTCCCTGGTGGCGCAGGCGGTTGAGCGCAGCACTGTGAAGCTGTCTGCAGCCTCTGCAGTGGAGGTTCCATCCGGGCCAGACGGCGAGAATCCCAAATGGTGAAGCAGACCTCTCCTGTCTCCCCTGATGCTCCCTTCAGCAGTGTATTTCATCAATCTGCCTGTTCTGTTCCCCGCTCTGTCTCTACTGAATCCTCTCACCCTCCTGCACATCTGACCTATATCCCGGTTCTTGTATAAAAATAAATAAATCTTTAAAAAAAAAAATCCAAACTGAATAGTCTACGCAAATGGCCCTCTTCTAACCAGGCATAGCAACTCAGTGCATGTAAGTCACTGAACTCCAATCATTCAGAACTTCTTTTACAGAAAAGGCAACACAAACAGGCAAATTCATTTGTTCAAAGTGAAACAGTTAGTTGGTAGCCACACAGGGCCCCTGGACCTCCAACCTAGTGTTTAGAGATGAGAAATGATCATTTTTAAATGATTTATACCTTTGCATATTATGCGTAGTACATAATGGGAGTGGAGAAGAGAAGATGGTTTTAAGAGGAACCTTCATAACAACCAAGAGACAGCAAATTTTATAACATGAGCCTGAAATTCAAAAGGCTAACTTGGAATTACAAAACAAAACTGGGTTGATGCAAACCCTAAGTCTTTTGCTTTTATAAAGGCATATAAGCCAAGGGGGCCCTTCTCTTTGCCAAGAATTGTAGTAGGACATGATATTTACTAACAGAAGCTTTTCCAAAATGTCGAATTATAAAAATGGTGATCCACGCTGGCCTTTGGAGCCACAGGATGTTGAGCAGAAGGTGCTCTTGGTGATGTTAGCTAGACTCATCATTTTTTAGCTAACACCTGAGATTAGGGTGCAGAAGAACCAAAAGACGTGGCCCCAGTTAGTAGTGAAGTAGACAGAACATGGCAGCATGTGGTCTCCCCACATCCAGTTCTTTTCCATCTCTAGACCATGAGGCCATTCTCTTCCAGTTGACTATCTTATAGAAAGCAATACTGTCCTTATAGTTAATCCATTTCCTATATCAAGTTCTTCTTTTTTTTTTTTTTAAAGATTTATTTATGCATACAAGAACTAGGGCACAGAAGGTGTGGGGGGGTGAGAGGATTCACCAGAGATAGAGTGGGGAACAGAATAGGCAGATTGACTGAAATACACTGTAGCAGGCCAGGGATTGAACTCGTGCTGCAGAGGCTGCGGATAGCTTCATAGTGTTGTGTCTTAACCCCTTGTGCCACAGGGAGGCCCCTCAAGTTCCTGCTTTCTCCTCACCCCATTTCACCTTTCCCATATCCCAACCAAGGTCGAAAGAGATGTAGCAGCAGCAAGAATGGTCCAGAATCATTAAATAAGTCTGGGGAAGAATTTATTTAAATCAGTGACATACTATTTCATTTCTACTTATTATTAGAAAGCTGAAGCAAATGCTTAATATCTATTTGTTATAGTTTTTCCAAAATAGGTTACTCAACTTTGTCCCCAACCATCTTTACAAAGTCATGATTTGTAAATGTCAAAAGTACTGAAGGTAACTGATGGAGCCTATATGGACCTATCATCCCAGAGTCAACAAATGTTAACATCTTTCTTATCTGCAGAGAAACAGAGTGTGGTGTGTGTGTGTGAGAGTGTTGAGAGAGAGAGAGGTAGTTAAGGACCTGCTCACATGATTGTGGCAGTCTGGCCAGTCCAAGGTCTGAAGGGGTAGACTAATTGGCTGGAGACTCAGGGAGAGTTTAAGTTTATGTCCTAAAGCTTCTACCTGCTGAATTCCTTCCTCCTTGGGAGAGGTCACGGTCATTCTTTTCCATTCAGACCTTCGAGTGATTGACTGAGGCTCACCCACATCATGGAAGTTAATCTACTTTACTCAAAGTCTCTTGAATTAAATGTGAATCTCGTCTAAAAAATACCTTCATAGAGACATTCAGACTAATGTTTAAGTAAATATCTATACACAGTGGCTCAGCTAACACATAAAATTATCATCACAAATTGTTTTAACTTTTTTTTTTTTAAGAAATAAAATATTGCAGGCCTCCCTGGTGGCACAAGGGGTTAAGACTCAACCTATGAAGCTCACTGAAGCCACTGCAGCTTGAGTTCGATCCCCAACCAGGGAGCTACCCACATGCGCAGCAGACCTCTCCTGACTCACCCACTGCTCCCTCAGCAGTGTATTTCAGTCAATCTGCCTGTTCTGTTCCCCACTCTATCTTTGGTGACTCCTCTCACCCCCCCAACACCTCTGGCCTATACCCCAGTTCTTGTATGCATAAATAAATAAATCTTTAAAAAGAAAGAAAGAAAGAAAGAAAATATTGCAGAATTCACAAATTATACCTCTCCCTGGAAAGAGGTATAATTTTTTTTTCTGTAAACTCCTTCTTGTGACTTCAGACCCCTTTTGACACCAACACCTGAACTCCAATTTCTGGTTCAGGGTTGAGGTGGGCAGTGAAGACATGGCCTGTCATTTACCACGACCATGTGTTCTTTCCAGAACCTCCTAGTCATTGGAGGCTGCAGGTAGTTTCTACAGAAAATTCTATTATGAGCCTCTGTGCCAGGGGGAGTCACTAGCAATCACTATGCTGAATCACACAGAACTCAAACATATTCAGATCACAAGCCACACACGTCTGGATGGTTCTGCCCAAGTAGTTTGATTCACTGCTATGTGATCCATGTCTGTTTTACTGGCTAGTTTATTGTAAAGACAATTAAATGAAGGATGTTGTAAAACTTCAAAGAAATAGTCAAATAAACTCCAGGTACCCTGCATAACCTCACACAGTTTGCTGGAAGCTGCTGGCTAAGAGGCCTGAACGCTGCACATTCTCGGATCCCTTCCAGAACCCAGGATTCCATGACTGGTATTTGCAGTGATAGCATCCCTAACTCAAATTCTCTCTGATTTGCTGCTCTTGTCTGTAGGCTTAGAGAGGCTTGTATCTTCCCAGGTGCAGTATAAGCTGCAGCTACCTGCTCAACTGGATAAGACTTTAATCATGGAAAGGAGGCTCCTGAAGAAGGAAATGAAAAAGCTCCTGTAAGTATGCTTGTGGATAACTTTCATTCATTACATGTGGCATTTGGTGGGTTTCATGTCCTACATGATGTGAATATTAGCCGGAGAGTAAACATCTAAGGAAGGATCTATTCCTACCCAATGGGGGAAAGTCAGATTGCCTGGCTTCTGCCTGCTGCCTGAGAGACCCCAGGTAGTAGCTAGCAGGATGCTGAGTCTCTGGGGAGCAAGCCTCTGTCAGCAGTGTGCACATCTCAGGCCTCTGCGTTCCACAACCAAAATGCTGGGCCCATGGCCCAGCCAGCCTGTGCTGGCAGGATGTATTTTTGAACAGATTCCATGGAGGAAAGATATAGGAGAGGATTTTGAAAAATATACCAACAGCCCAGCATTTAAATCACAATCACCGTGTCTTTTAAGATCAGTCTCATCAACTAAATAATTCATCTCCTTTTTCTTCTCATGTCAACCTTATTTGTAACCAGGAAAACTTCAAGTTTTCCCACGCAGACATGTTTTCTTCTTGTGGTAGTTTTTCTTTGACTTGGTACCTTGGTGAAGACCACAGACAATATAAAAATGGGAAAAAAGATTATGTTCTATTTCCTATTTATATGGGCACAACAATAATAACCTCTTCCTCAAAGAATTTCTCACAATCTCCATCAAATGTCTTTTCTCTGTCTACTAAGATCATTTATCTTTTAAACATCCCTTAAGAAATGTGGGAGTAGGGCTTCCCCTGGTGGCGCAGCAGTTGAGTGCTGGGCTGCGAGGCTGCCCGCAGCCTCTGCAGCACCGGTTGGTTCCCTGGCCACAGGTAAGGGTCCCACAAAAAAAAAAAAAGAAAAAAATGTGGAAGTAAACTATGCATGAATTCACATATGTTTACATGTAGGTGTGTGGAGGTCCACAAACTAAAAAATAAAATATAGCAGGAATGCCAGCTCCTCTACTAAAGCTGGAATTCCAGAGCTAATATAAATTATATATTTATATATTTGGATTATATATCCAAATAATGCATTTAGACTGTTTCAAATAAAGCATCTTAGAATCACAAAGCAAAAATTCAACACCTTTCAAAATCCATCTAGAAGAGTTTAATGACTGAAGAAGAGCTTCTAGAGCAAGAAACAGACTCTTCCCCACGTAGTAATTTGCCCAAAGTGTGTAGTAAAAACCTTGTCAATCAGAACTGGCCTTATGTATAAGTGTAAAATTTGCAGACATCCACCCCAGAGTCCCCAGAGCCTTTCCCTGCACCCAGGCCCTTTTCCTGTCTGACCCAGAATGGGAACACTTGCTGTTCTCCTCCAGTTGTTAGGGGGAAAAGGCTGTCCTAAAGCTAATTCCATACAGGCTTTGTGGACTCCACCCCCACTCCAGACCAAAGCCAAAGACACTGGGAACTCCAAATCCCATCACCACCAAAGGGAAGGTGGCTGGGACCTGAGGGTGGGGTTAAGCAGCCAGGTGGGTATAAAGTCAGACACGTGGGCTTTGGGGGGGGGTCCCCCATTTTGGCTCTCCGCCAGCTCGCAGCCTCTGGACAGCTCTGAGAGTGCCTTTGGGTTTCCAGGTAGGTGGATCGGGTAGGACGCTTTAAAGATTTTATTTCCCTATTTTCTCCCTGAGTTGTACATTTCCTTAATTCCCTTTCCCTTGTAAATAAACCTTTTATTAACCTTTTGTGTGTGTCTGTAGTGGAGTCTTAATAAGTCCCTTTTAAGCACGCGGGTGAGGACCCACAGCCAGGCAACCCGTTTATATCGGGGTTGCCCTATAAACAGCAGGACCCTTATTAAAAGTCACTCTTTAGAAAAAATCTGATAAGGATAAAATACAATGGAATTAGTAAGACATTTTTATGCATGACTCCTCCTAAGGGTGTCTACATTCTGATGAGGAAAAGCGTTAGGGCAGAAGGCTTCTGTAGAGAATGATAAGTATCAGGGCCTTTTCAGTTTGGAACAAACTGCCACAGTACAACATGGGCAGCAAGGAAATCTTTGTTTTAAACAGCGATTATCAGTCTTTTGGGTTTTGTAAAACTTTCTGTGTATGAAAATTGTCAGGCTCCCTGCCTGCCTATAAATTCTATTCCAGCCCTGTGAATTTAATTTTTAGGTATGGATGATTTTTAGGTATGGGTTTTTTTAGGTATGGATGATTTTAGGTATGGATGATTTTTTAGGTATGGATGATTTTTAGGTATGGATGATTTTAGGTATGGATGATTTTTAGGTATGGGTTATACTTAGATATTTAAACCTTCAGCATGGCAGGGTGGCCATTTAAATCAAGTTAAGTATTAACTCAGCGACAAGAGCCATCAGTGGTGTTTTGGTAGAGGAGGGAGGGTGTGAAGGTTGAGCTCCCCAGTCACTCCCAATGCTTCAATGCTGCTTTCTTGCTTTTAAGGGGAGATTATATTGGCATCAGACTTCGGGAATATGAATTTGACCCAAAAGGAAGATGGCAACTCACCTTTCTAGATGATATGGTAAAGAAAGGCATGCGGATATGAGTCACATTTGTGTTATATGTGTATTCAGGGGACAAAACAGGGTTGAATGTATAAAATAACAAGGCTCATCTTGATTTTCCCCTCAAAATTTCTTCTGCCTCATTTTTCATGCTAGGATTATCCATATGGTCTTTTCTTTTTCTTTTCCTTTTTTTTTAAAGATTTATTTTATTTATGCATACAAGAACTGGGGTGTGGGCCAGAGGTGTGGGGGTGGGGGGGTTGGGGGGGTAATAGGATTCACCAGAGACAAAGTAGGGAGCAGAACAGGCAGATCTACTGAAATACACTGCTGAGGTGAGCAAGGGGTGAGACAGGAGAGGTCTGCTGAGCCATGTGGATCACCTCCCCGGCCAGGGATCGAACTAGTACTGCAGTGGCTGCCAATAGCTTCATAGTGCTGAGACTTTACCCCTTGTGCCGCCAGGGAGGCCCCCCATATAGTCTTTTCAACTCATTAAAGTGAAAGCAAAAAGAATGAGAAAATAAAAATTATGAGGCTTTTGCTATTTGTTATTAGGAGAGAAAAGATTAAAAATATAATATATATTTATAAATGTTATATACATGATGTTAGAATTTTTTGACAAGATTAGCTATCATGTAGATCTTAAATATGATAATTTTTTGATTATTTGTATAATGTGAAAAAAACAAGGAATTGAGGGGCTCCCTGGTGGCGCAGCGATAGAGCGCTGGGTTGTGAAGCTGCCCGCGGCCTCTGCGCGCCGGTTCGATCCCGGGCTGCTCCCCGGCCACCAGAGGAGGGTCCCACGTGGCGCGCAGACCTCTCCTGCCGCCCACTGCTCCCCTCAGCAGTGTACTTCGGTCCTTCTGCCTGCTCTGCTCCCCGCTCTGGCTCAGTGAATTCTCTCACCCTCCCGCGCTTCTGACTGTACCCAGTGCATGTATAAACAAACAAACAAATAAATAAAACATGCCTCTATTGAAAAAAAAATCTTAAAAAAAAAAAAAAAAAACAAGGAATTGAGTACTTGTAAAGTCCCTTGTGTTGTTATTCATGTTATGTAATGAAAGTTTACTATCACGTAAATTGAAGAAGAAACTGTGAAAGATCTAATATTTTTTTTTTCTAAAGATTTTTTTCCTTTAAGATTTATTTATTTATTTATACAAGCACTGGGTACAGTCAGAAGCGCAGGAGGGTGAGAGAATTCACCAGAGCCAGAGCAGGGAACAGAACAGGCAGAAGGACCGAAGTACACTGCTGAGGGGAGCAGAGGGCGGCAGGAGAGGTCTGCGCGCCATGCGGGACCCTCCTCCAGTGGCCGGGGAGCAGCCGGGGATCGAACCGGCGCTGCAGAGGCTGCAGGCAGCTTCACAACCCAGCGCTCAACCGCTGCACCACCGGGGAGGCCCGAAAGATCTAATTTTTTAAAAAATGATGAGAGCCTTGGTTTTTGTGTGTTTACCAGTTTGCAATTCTTAAACTAATGAGGAAGAAACCATCTTGTCCTCCCTGCCCTCCTGTCTGACTTTCCTGGAACTGAAGAAGCAGTTAGCCTTGGGCTTCTACAGCACTTCTCTGTACATATTTTAAATTGATTAGAAAAGTGCTTCTCAAACTTTAATGAGCTCTTATTACAAGACTGTTTTGATTCAGGAGAACTGGGGCTGGGAATTTGCATTTCTCATGAGCAAATGGACATGCCAATACTGCCAGGCCCTGCATCAAGTTTTGGGTTAGGTTTCAACAATTGAAATTTCTTCCTTCCTTCCTTCTTATGTCCTTTTTCTTTCATTCATTTTCAGTTTGGTTCACTTCCTGGAAGAGCTGAGTTATTCATTGTTCAGAGAATGTTACATAGAACCTTAGAATCCATCTAAAACCAAAAACAAATCCATTCTTTTCTTTTTCTTGGAGGGGTAGGTGGGGAAGGAATATGGAATATTTGCGCAGCTAAATGGTGAAATAGCTCAAAGATGACCAGGAAATGTGGTCAGTAGGCTAAGAATGAACCTCACACTGGTCCTCAGTTATTCACTGTATATGAGACTCTTAGCCAGTCACTTAATCTAGTCTGCATCCAGTCCCTTGCTCATCCTGGGCCATCCACCTGGAAGGGCCTTCTCCACCCATAGAAATTCTCTTCATCTTCCAAGTCCCGCTCCAAGGAGGTCACCTCTCTAAAGACCCCCAAATTTTCCCCTAACTCCCTAGGAAGTATCCTGGGAGCACATTTCTGAGGTTTTACCCACAGATCTACAAATTGTTCTGTTTTCCTCTTCCCCTACTTTTACCTTTTCCTATTTTGAAATTTAAGGAGACAGAGGCCCAGAAAATATCAGTTAATCACCAACATATACCACAAGTTGTTAGCAATACCAAGATTTAAACCTAGATTCCTGCTCCCAATTTAGCATTCTTTCCTAAACCACACAAACCAAAAAACTGCTGTAGTGGGAGGCAAATGGAGTGACTGAGATCCCTAAATATTCCCTTCTTAGCATCTGATACTGGACACAGCTAGTTGAAGCGCAGCACAGTGGACATCACAAGATAGTGGCCTAGGCTTAACACTGTCACTCTGTTGTGTCCAAGAGCAACTGGGCCAGTACCAACTTCCTTTGCTCTTTGTGCTTCCTGCTTCCAGGCCCACTATGACTTGGCCATCAGCGTTGCTTTGCAATGGCTGGATCACTCAGAAGACTTAACTTGGCTAGAGTGGGAGGAAGTGTAAGTTGAAATAATTTCTCTCTTTTTTTAATATGTGATTATGACTAATGATGAAGTCCTATCTAGTGGCTTCCACTGTGAGGCACTGATTTGAAAACACTGTAAAATGAGTGTTCCTCCTCAATTCGAAAACCTGAAGAAACCCCACAGCTGTCAACTGGGGAAGTCATATATATTTGCATAGTTTGCATTTCAGCTCATTGGTTTCTGTCAGATGAAGTTCTTTCCTGCATAGAAAGTTCTGCCTCAGAATTATAATTGTGCTTTACTGTGTACATGTCATAATTTTTCATATCAACTAAGAAATGGTCAATTCTGGGTAAAGGAAGCAATCTTCCAAGGCCTATGAAACATGATTTCTTAAGCACTTCACCTGGTATGTACCTGAGCTGAGCTACTTGAACCATAGCTGCATGGATTCTTTGCAGGATGACTTGCATTTTTGCCATGAGTGCCAGGCTGACCACTTAGTTGTTAAGAACATGGCCAGTATTAAATCGCTTATGGCACAGGCCAGTTATATTACCAATTCCACAACCATAGCATACACACCTGGTTCTGGATGGTTTGTATTAGAATATGGTTATAATAAACAGAAAACTCAGTTTGAATAGACTTCAGAGGGGCAGGAAGGATTTGTTTACATGTCATAATTTTTCAGATCGATTAAGAAATCTGAGAAGTCTATGGGGAAGTTTGTGTTCGGCATGGTTTAATTCAAAACTCAAACCATGTCTTCAGCATCTACCTCTTGACTATGTTCTCTGAATGGACACTTTCTTAGTTTCAGCCACTTTATCACAACATTCAGTCCAGAGGAGAATAAATGAAAACTAAATCACAGAATTGCATCTCAATGGCCATATTTTTTCTAGATTTATTTTTATTTATTTATGCATACAACAGCTGGGGTATAGGCCAGAGGTGCGGGGAGTGAGAGGAATCACCAGAGACAGAGTGGGGAACCGAACAGGCAAGGGGAGCAGTGGGCAAAACAGGAGAGGTCTGCTGCGCCATGTGGATCACCTCCCTGGCCAGGGATTGAACTGGTGCTTCAGTGGCTGGTAATAGCTTGATAATGCTGAGACTTTAACCCCTGCGCCTGCACGGAGGCCCTCAATGGCTGTTTGCCTGGCTTGTCAGGGGGTAGAGTCAGAGACAGAATACACTGACTAACTTTGTCCACTATGTTTTCCATCCTTAGAACCTAGGGGCATTGTTTGCTTCCCTGAAGCTTGTAGGAAATTCCCCCAAACTGCTGCAAGAAGGAATAAGCACACCAGCTGGCAAAACCATAACTGTTCACTCTAGAGGCCAGTCTGCCAATGTTTGATAGAAGTGAAAACATGGATAGATGAGGACAAATCCATTCCCACTGTTGGAAAATCCAAAATTCTAAGCATGTACTTTAGAATCACTTCAACTTTGTGAATAGAGCCACTGGAGACTACATATTGACTATTATCACAACCATAGCAGGTTCAAAAAAAAAAAGAATAAACTCTCCGTTCTTATTTATTCATATTCCCCCCCTTAGAAAAATGCCATTTCGTGGCAGACCTATATACCCAAACCGTAAAGAACGAGAAGCAATGATTTTATCATCTTACGCTGGCGTCTTAATGGTAAGGAAAAGAACACTATTTGCGTATATGGAAATTTGATATCTACTTGCACATTTTGGTATGAATGGATACTAATTTTATCTTTCAATCAGTGTTTCTAAATGTTAAAGACTTAGTCATGTTGAATGTTTCATCTTAAAGGTATAACAAAAAGTTTTAGTTCTATATTGCATTATGAAAATGTTTAATTAAGGGGCAAAAAAAAAAAACCAACCCAGAGTGAAACCTAAGTAATTGGAATTTGGATATTCTGGTTTATCCATTCCTTTGAATTATTTATCTAGTACCCACATTATTCAGGCATGGCACTAGATATACTGGAGCTATAATAACTTTATTTTATAATAAAAGAAAAGCCATGGTATAATAATACTTTTTGTTGTTGTTTAACAGAACAGTATCCCAATTGAGGAAGTCTTTAGAATTTATGGGGTTGATTCTTCTGCCAATTCTGGTGTAGCCAAGGTAAGGGTGATCTGGGACTATCAATATAATAGAGTTTAGATCAAATTTCTTTATTTATAAATTTATCATGTATTTTCAAGCATGAAATAATTCTTTTATATCAAATGTACAAAGCCAGATACATCATATCTTACTTTGGTAACCAATGTTTGTAAAACACTTTCCTATGTAGAAGACAGTTTTAGTCACAACAAATGTCTTTTGTGCGGAACTGGCTAGAGGCAGCAAATAGCACCAGACTACAAGTGTAGATTTTGCCTGTTTCTAGTGAACTGAATTTCTTACACTTCCTGTAGTATTGACTGATAAGTCTAAGCACTCCTCTTGGATGGTGTATTATATGCAGGGCTAGAAAAAATGTACAAGTTACATTCTCAGGATAAATTACCTGTTTTTTTGGTGCCACATTTCTTCTTCCCACAAGACCACTTTGAAATCACTACAGTGGAAGCAGAGACCTGGGTGAACCAGTAGCTTCCCCTGAGCTGTAACAACCACAAATGTCTCTAGACTTTGCCAAATGCTCCCAACTGGCAAACTTTCAGACAATCAATTATCACAAGGGGTATGACATGGTTTGAGCTAAAAATATAATAATGTGAGGTTCTTCTACCTCTGGGGGCCTCCCAAGCTCCCCTCTGTGTCAAAAATACCAGCTCGGGCCTTCCTCTTGTGTCCACACTTCAGTTCTCTGTGACCTCCACATTTTAAATAATGAATCAGCAGGACTTCTCAACAGAAACGTGGCACTTCATAAATTAAGTTGTAAGAGCTATTTTAAAGCATCCCTTTGTCATTTAATATAATTTAAAAAAAATATTTCTAAAGAGGAGATAGTTGTTAAAAAAGTATTGCCAAAGGTTTTTCTTTAATGGCTGCATATATCTGAATGACCTTTGATTCCTTCAGATAAAACGTTTCCTTCACAACTGCTAAAATCCTTCCCAAAGAGGGCCTTAAAACCCTGTTGAATACTAATCAGATTATGTAGATTATGTGGCCACTGGACAGGCGCAGGACACAACATGGGCATTGTACACAGGCCCAGAGGTTTTCTTCAGGATTATTTGCTGCCACCTGGTGACAGACAAGCATCATAGGCACAGTAGTGTTCACCAGTTCCATTAACCTTAGGTTCTACCCATAAGGAACTGTCTTTTGCTGCCATGGAGCCATTTTCTCTGCCTGTGGACCCACAGAAAAATAATCAACTAAGGGCCTCACACAAGTGAAAGTTATAATTAGCAAACAAGTCCATCCTTTGTATTAAGTATGTATGAACTGAAACAGAATCAACAGTTTGGACACTCTCTGAGCATCTAGTCCCACGTCCCTCCTTTCAACCTGGTGTTCTCCATCTTGAATTATGTATTTATCATTCTCTTTTATTTATTTCTCGTTTTACCACATATACATCAGAATCAATTTAGTCTTTAGTTTTACATGATCTTTGAATTTTGTATAAATGAAATAAAAGCAATATATATAGAAATGATGCCATATAAATCAAATGAAGCATATTATTTTATGGCCTGCGTGTTTTCACTTAATGTTATGTTGCACAAACTCATCCATGTAGTCACATCACTCTCACTGCATGTAGTATTCCACTAGAGGAATACGCCACAATTTACTTATATGTTCTTCTGTTTTAGATATTTGGGTTGTTCTTTTGCATGTCTCTTAAATTGCTATGTCACAGGATATGTGCTACATAAAGGCAAATTGGTCTTCAAAATGGTTGGATCAATTTAAACTTCTGTTTGCAAAACAGGGTATCTATCAACACTTGATATTTTCAGACTTTTTTTTAAAGATTTATTTTTTATTTATACAACAGCTGGGGTACAGGCCAGAGGCTGGGGAGGGTGAGAGGATTCACCAGAGACAGAGTGGGGAGCAGAACAGCAGGCAGACCATAAGCACTGCTGAGGGGACCTCTCCTGTCGCACCATGTGGGAATCTCCCTGTCTGGCCAGGAATCGAACCTGCACTGCAGAGGCTGCAGACAGCTTCACAGCACTGTGCTCAACCCGCTACAACACCAGGAAGGCCCATTTTCAGACTTTTTAAGTTTGTCAGTCTATTAACTGTACATTGTGGTCTTAATTTACATTCCCCTGATTACCAAGGGATAACTTTTCATGTTTCTACTTCAGTAAAGTGTCTGTTATTACAAAGTCTTTTGTCCATTTTCTCTGAGGAATCACTTGCCCTCTTTTTATACATAGCCTCATTTTTTAGAAAAACAGCTAGAGGATATATAATCAATCAAGTCCTAAATTTTGGGGTACTCTGCTCATTTGAAATTTGTTACTTTTTGTCCCATAAACATGAAAATGTTTAGGAAATAGTGTTTTGCAACATCCCAACCACATTTTTAAAGCTTCTTAGGCAGTTATAAACTGTCTTTTCAGACCACATGTCCTACATTTACTTGGGAAAATATGATTGCCACAGGCATATAACCCATTGCTTTGAGACCAAGAATCAGAAATTCTCTACCCTCTGCCTCAGTGATGTCATAATGATAGTTGAGGAAGTTCTGCTCCAGGTTAAAAGGCAGGTGCAGATTACTATTTCTGCGTTCATCCCTTCCTGCTGTTTCCCCTGCTAGAGCCTCCCTGTGCAGCTTTATACCATTACTCATTGATATCTTCTCCCCCTCTTCCTTCCAGCTAAAAGATGTTTGTATTAAATGTGATTTGAACATAATTTCCCATTCACTAAGTACCTGAATCAAGAAAAAAACTCATAGTAATACTCTTACATTGCCACAATTAAGATATGAGTAAATAGCTTTAAAGCAAAAAACAGGATATGATGAACTCTATCTAAGCTTTGGATTTCTATTTCATACTGCTTTAAAGTAATTTTTCATATAAGCGATAAAATGCTTTCAGGTTATCAGGACACAAGAAGTTTCATAGCATATTGGAGACCTAAGTGACCTTAAAACTCGTCGAATTCTATCTTCCCCCATGGATAAGGAAACTAGAGTGTGAAAAGCATTAGTGTTGCACCTTCAAAGTGTGGAAGTGCATCAAGGGTGCTGTGTGAGTCAGCTTTCCTCCTTATTTATACCTGGCACCCGCTATCTTGAGGCCTGCCATCATAGCCTTAATTGTCCCATCCTCAAGCAAAGCCACCGACAATTATTTTCTCTGTTTTAGAGTCATCTTTATGAAGAAACTATGCACTTCTTTTTTTTTTTTTTTTTTAAAGATTTATTTATTTATTTATTTGTACATACAAGCACTGGGTACAGTCAGAAGCACGGGAGGGTGAGAGAATTCACCAGAGACAGAGCGGGGAGCAGAGCAGGCAGAAGGACCGAAGTACACTGCTGAGGGGAGCAGCGGGCGGCAGGAGAGGTCTGTGCGCCACGTGGGACCCTCCTCCGGTGGCCGGGGAGCAGCCGGGGATCGAACTGGCGCCGCAGAGGCCGCGGGCAGCTTCGCAACCCAGCGCTCAACCTCTGCACCACCGGGGAGGCCCAGAAACTATGCACTTCTTGAGGCTAGGGCCACAGCTTATGCTTATGTTTAATTCTTTGCAATGTTGGAAATGAAATAAACTCTCAGTATATATTTTTGCCACTTGACTGAAAGACTCAGGTCAAATTCAAAGTATCCCTGTTGAGGTAGTGATACATTACTCTGTCAATAAGGAGAACACAACCTCACTTACTGTTTAATCCAAGTTTTCTTATGAAACAACAGAAATTCATAGTAATAGTGAAAAACAGAAGTTTACTTTTTTTTTTTAAGATTTATTTATTCATTTATACAAGCGCTGGGTACAGTCAGAAGCGCAGGAGGGTGAGAGAATTCACCAGAGCCAGAGCGGGGAACCAAACAGGCAGACTGATGAAATACACTGCTGAGGGGAGCAGCAGGCGTGGCAGGAGAGGTCTGCTTCACCATATGGGACCCTCACCGGCACTGCTGAGGCTGCAGGCAGTTTTGCAGCCCAGCGCTCAACCGCTGCACCACCAGGGGAGGCCCAGAAGTTTACTTCTTATATAAACAGAGTCTAGAGGTGAACAGGACTGGCCTGGCCCCACCACAGTTCCACAGAGCCATCCAGAAGCCATCCTTCTTCCAAGTCTCTGCTCATTCCTGTTGTAAATTAGAAAATAATACATAAATATAGTCCCTGGCTATAAAGAAAAAGAAAAAAAAACTCATATGTGAACCACACAATTATCCCAGAGCTCAAATTCTTGTGGAAATACAGATTTATACTTACTTTGAAGGGATTCCAATTTTCAAGAACATGATCTTAATGAACTGTGAGTACATTAGGGTGTTTTCTTTGATGGTAGAGTAAAAAATTTTCTACTGACCTGGACATCTAAAAATGGGTATTTGTTTTGTCATCCTTGTCTTTTGGTGTTTGCCTCAGTTATACATCACATAAAGGTGCCCTGTCTATGAAATGGCATATTGCTGCAAAGCATACAAAAAAGAGAATACCATAATTATCTTTTTCTGGGCCTCTGCTGGTGGCGCAGGTGGTTGAGAGCCATGCTGTAAAGCTGTCCGCAGCCTCTGCAGCGCTGGTTTAATCCCGTCCAGCTGGCGAGGGTCCCACATGGCGCGGCAGACCTCTCCTGTCGCGCCCACTGCTCCCCTCAGCAGTGTATTTCATCAGTCTGCCTGTTCTGCTCCCTGTTCTGTCTCTGGTGAATCTTCTCACCCTCCCACACATCTGGCCTGTACCCCGGTTCTTGTATAAATAAAAATAAATAAAATAAAAAAAAATTATCTTTTTCTCTTTAGAATATGAGGTCCCTAATATCATTCCTGAAACTAAGAAAACACAATTGCTGATATTGGAGAAGGATGTTAATTACCTAGTCCTCCTGGTTCTAATTGGTTTTTTTGTCAGCAATTCACTCAGCCTTTGGTAGATGAGGCAGGACTCTGCAAAAGACTGGGTGACCACGCTGCTACCATGGGTAATTTTATACAACAGAAAAATTGATGATGATGATGAGAAAAATGATGATGATGATGATAAATTTATAACAATACTTATTATACTTTTTAATGCTAATAGTTTTTGCCAAACACTATTCTATTGGCTCTACATATGCTAACTCTTTAATTCCTAACAAGCCCTACAAGGTATTTACCAGTATTATTATTATCTCATGAAGAAATGGGCACAGGAAATTTAAGTCACATGCCCAAGATCACATATTTTGTAGATGGTGTGAAGTGCATTCAAATACAGTCAGTTTGACAGTAAGATCCATGCTATTAATCACTGTTGCCTTGGTTAGAGTAAATATTCAATTAGTCAATAACATTGGAGGCCTACTATGTGCTAGGCCTTCTCTGAAGGCATCAGAGATAAAAGGTTAAATGAGCTGACAGGCCTTCCCACTACCACACTCTAATCCATTCTCCATATAGCAGCCAGAGTGATCTTTTTAAAAAACTACATCAAACTTTGTCACACTAGTGCTTAAAAATATTTCTATGGCTTCCACTGAGCCCCAGAATCAATGTGATGTACAGCTGGGTTTCCTTCTTCTACCTCACCTGCCATTTTCCTTTTTCTCACTATGCTCCAGCCACTCTGTTTTCCTTTCTTTGCTGGAAAACACAGGTTTTTTGCAAGAAGACCTACTTATTCCCTGAGTTTGGAATACTTCTCTCCAACTCTTCCTTTGCTCATCCTATAAGTCCCAGTAGCTACATCACTTCCTCTCAGAGACCATTCTGTCTGAAGAAGCGGCTTCCCATAACTCCCGAGCACTTAATCTTATTCAGTTTATTAATCTAATCAAATATGTAATTATCCTAGTCATCTAAGAGCTTATTATTTGTCTCTACTCATTCAATCCTAGAAAGGCGGGACTCGTGTGTGTTACTAACCACAGGTCCTAATAGCTTAAAATAGGTGTTTATAGAAAACATGTTGGGTAGAAGAATGAATGTGACAGTTCTAGACGTGATGGAGTGTCCAGTGCAGAAAAGCAGCAGCCATAGTAACTAACTATAACACACTGTTCTGTGTGACAACATGCTTGGAGTTTACAGATGAGTGAGTCAGTAATTGTGCTTATGGTCTTTTTTGCGGGGGGTGGGGGGGTGGTGGGAGGTGAGGAAATGACTATTTCAGATAAAGGGAACAAGGTGAAGGGCATGAGCATATGAAAGGCATGTAGGTAAAGGGAACTAGGCATGGGACCAAGAAATATGCAGACCTTCGTGACCCATGAAAATGAGTCTTACCAGTAAACATTAGTGATATTTAAAGACTATTAGTTGGTGAAGCAGGTCAAGTGCTATAACTAGCAGGTGTTAATGTCACAAAGTGTGTGCAGCTTTTAAAATTGGGATGGTTTTCCTTTCAGGTTCCCCAAGCTCCACCTTTCCGCCTCTCTTTGCACCCTTTTGCCATGTTAACAGCACCCAAAGCAGCAGAATATGCCCGCAAACAGAGTAAGCTTGTTTTCTTCCATCTGCTTAGAGAAATTTAAGTAAAATTAGGAGGGGAATTAATAAAGTAAGGTCAAAGATGTTATGGCAATAAGATTTCTCTTTCTGCTTGAATTTAAAAGTGTCTGCAGCATTTATGACTTGATATTATTCCATTATTGAAATTAGGGATGTCTTCTGTCTCAGACCCTTTGGTGATGGAAGCAAAGCTCTCTAGGTGGGAAGGATCTAAAACTGTGGGTAGGCTCATTAAAAAAAACATTTCATATGCAGATTTGGTTTCTACATGTGTCTCTAGGTTTCAAGTTAAGAAGGAGAGCAATGAATAAAAATGTGACCAGCAACTCTACAAGGGAAGCAAAAACCATGGAGTGGAAATCAGCAAAAAAGTTACCTCTGGATACACTGCCTAAGAACAAAGTAGGTCTAGAAACACAAAGTAGGTCTAGAAACACATTGGACCAAACTGATACTAGACATTTGGGGAGTATTTTATTTATATGATGGCCAGAAGCGTAGCCTTTGGTGTTAGATGCTCTTAATGTGAACCTAAAGTCTACTACTTATCAGCAATGTGACTTCAGGCAAATTACTTATCATCTTTGTGCCTTAGTGATCTTCTCTGAAAAATAGGAACAATACCAGCCTCGTAAAATTATTGAGATGATTAGCTAAGATTATGCATGTTAAGAGATTTTTAAAATGCTTGGCACAGAGTAAATCCTTTAAAAAAAAATGACCATTATCTTTCATCATTTGAGAAATGCTATTTAAAGTTAATTAGCTGTTATTCTACTGATTCAAATAAGTGTGTCTAGGATATCCATATTAATATCTGTGTTCCAAACATTTCTAGTCTTCATCCCTTTTTCACTAATAAGAATTTTATTTTTGCCTGCTTTGCATCTCTGCTAACCCTGCTCTGTGCATCTGATTACTGGTACAGTATTTCTAATTGTCTCTCTCTGATACAATGGTCAGAGAGATGCAGGGTTGGCAAAAAAAGGAGAAAAAGAGTCTTTACTGTTTCAATGCTGGACTCTCAACTGTAATGTGCAAAGTGAAAAGAAAACTGAAGGGTCAGTTCAATTCCCAGCCAAGGAGCTACCCCACGTATGGTGCAGCAGACCTCTCCTGTCTCTCCCGCCAAACCGCCGCTCCCCTCAGGAGTGTATTTCGGTAGATCTGCCTGTTCTGTTCCCCACACTATTGCTGGTGAATCCTCTCACTCCCCCACCCCTGCATCTCTGGCCTACACCCCAGTTCTACGCAAAGATTAAAAAGAAGAAGAAGAAGAAAAAGGAAACTTAAAAAGAAGCCAGAAAGATCAAGTAAGTCAGCATAATAAAAGCTGAAAAGGAAGATAATCAGAAAAGTGGTACAGTCTGAGAATCTGGGCTATTTTAGGGAATTGTTGAATGAGAGGCTGTGTTGACTGGAGGTTTGTTAGGTAAGAAGGAAAAGGACTTTTAAAAACTGGTACACTAATTTATAAATTGGGTTTGCTTTAAGAAACACAAGTAAAAATTAAAAATTTGTAAATGTGAATTTCTGAATAGAATGGTTCACATGGGGTTTAGGATTTACTCATGTTTTGAGGCAAACCATTGGCCAACTGGAAATATAACCTTATCATGGTAAATGCTGCATTCATTGGTCACATCAGGTTTTTAATGTGTTATTCTAGGGACAAAACTATCACAGAATTAGGAAATACTATGTTGTGCTTCTTTTAAAGGTATTTGCTATAATGAGATTTGAAGGCATAGCTTTTCTATAACTGTATCTTTGTTAATGAACAGTTTTCTGATGCTTAAGTTACTTTCTTAAAATATGAGGTTAGCAATAACAAGCTTTAAAAAACAAAGCAAGAAACAACTGAAAGCAATAATGACTCCAGAAATAACACACACACACACACACACACACACACACACACATCCCTAAACACACGTACTCACTGATAATCTAGATTTTAAACTTAATTGTTAAAAACTAGATCTTTCAAACAGGGTTTCATGCTGTGAAGTTTATCTGTTTCCCCTCCTATACTGAAAATCTAGCCCTAAAGATTACACACTGATATGTTATTTTGAAAATATAATTTTAACTGATATATGTTTTATTCGGCAACTGTTGGGGATCGTTGGCTTCTGATGGAAACATATGTTTTATTTCCTTATTATTTCCCAGATGTATGTAAAGTGCTTCACAGGCAGTGGATAATCACCAGTTACTGTTGTTTAGTGAATTGGCAGTAAGTGAACGGTCCTTAGGGGAGCATTCTCCAGCCCCTGGGCCCTGTATATACTGATACAAGGAAATGAGGAAAGGGCAATTTAAATTTAAATACAAAGAAATGTATATGAAATTCAAAATAGTATGTGGCACACATAATGCACAACTACTAAGGGGAAAAGAAATTATTTGCTTTGGGTACAGTTAGCCAAAAACAGTCTTACTGTTATTATGCATCTTTTTAATTTGGAAAGTGTCAGGTTTCGAGAAAAGGTACAAAAATGGTGCAAAGAACCCTTGTATATCTTTTACTCAATTTGTCAATTGTTAATGTTTTGCTCCATCAGCTTCGTTATTCTCTCTCTCTGTATGTAGAGATACCATTTTTTCTAAGCCATTGCAAAGTTACATACACCATGTCACTTTATTACTATATATTTCTGTGTATATGTGAGAACAAAGTCATTCTCTTAAATAACTGCAGGTTAGTTATCAACTTCAGAAAATCTGACATTGATACTTTGATCTACTCTACTGATTTTATGAATTGATCCAATAATGCCCTTTTAATAAAGACATTTTTCCTCCTGTATGGATCTGTGTGGGAATTTTGAATTTACTTCAGAAATATAAGCCAATTTCTAAATGTCTCAGAAGTTTCATGGAAATTCTTTTCACTTCCATTACTTTAATCCACGTTTTTAGTAATTTAGTATCTGATGTTTGACCTTAATTCCCTCTGGATTGAAAGCCAATGTCTCTATTGATATTAAATTGATGTGCTTGATACCAAAATCATCTTTTTATCCTGCAGGTCACTTAGACACTTGGAATTTCACTTCACAGCATACTCTTTGGGAGAGGAAAAATATCTTAACACAGCCACTCTTGCCAGCACTTTTTCTTTATGGTTCATCTTGATACAAACATATTGAAGTGTTATTTTGAATGTACAGCTTTCTTTTCTTAGAAGCATATTGTTTGGGTACATTGGTTTTTAAAATGTGTGTATCTGGACGTCCCCTGGTGGCACAGCGGTTGAGCACTGGGCTGCGAAGCTGCCCACAGCCTCTGCAGCACTGGTTCTATCCCCAGTCACTGGCGAGGGTCCCACATGGTGTGCAGACCTCTCCTGCTGTGCCCGCTGCTCCCCTCAGCAGTGTATTTCGTTGGTTTGCCTGTTCTGTTCCCCACTCTGGCTCTGGTGAATTCTTTCACCCTCCCGCGCTTCTGACTGTACCCTGTGCTTGTATAAATAAAAATAAATCTTTAAATAAATAAAATGTGTGTATCTTACGCTATTTCATTGTGACTAGAAGACATTCTGACTGGAGAACCCTATCACATATAGTATTTCCACGTCAGAGCAGGCTGGCTTTGTAGCATATTTTACTCGGAGTATTGCAGAGTGGTGGTGTAGGAGGCATTTTTTCAAAATTTCCATCCAAAATGAAATTAAGCTGTCACTGACTGCCTTTACCATGATCTATGTACTATGGAAATATTTAAAATCATGTCAATAAAGCGTTAAGAGGAAAATGAGTTCAGACCTTCTTTCGGTACAATATAATGACAACTGGGAAAAGAAATGTCCCAGCCTTTCAGTGCCTTTCCAAAATGCTGATTACACCCATTGCTTAGCTTGGAAATATGTGTTGGAATGTTATAGGGCAGGGAGAGGGGCAGCCCAGACCCCGCAAACCTGCCTGCTCTAAATGGGTTCTGCCATCCGCCACATCAACACAAAACATGAGACTTTAATGGGAAGCAACTTTAATACAATTAGGAAACAATACAGGAAAGGCAAAGAATCTAGTTTCTAAATTAAGCACCCAAAGTTGCCCATCCCCTCGTGGGTAAAAGTCCCCCCAATCAGGATTGGCCCAGAGCAAGTCCCCAAAGCCTGCCACAAGTCTAAAGCATCTTCCAGTGGGGACCCACAGAAAAGGATCAGAAACAACCAGACAAGTCTGGTGGGAAAAGAGCAAAATCAAGACAAAAACCGCCATTGTCACCTCCCCACGGGTCTCTCACCCACGTCTTTGTCACCCAGTCCACGACCAAAAGGCAAGCGCAGTTTTTTCATGTGTCTCTCGGCTCGATGTGCCTCCTCCATGTCTCCATCTGGCTCCATCCTGCTTCCTCCCTTCCTCAGTTGCCTCTGCAGCTGCTTCTCTCCCTGCTCAGCTCCACCCTCCTTTTGGGTGGGGCAGGAAACCTGGAACCTCCCCCTTTCCTGGGGACCACCCTGTTATAATCCCCCCTTTTAGTGGGGGTGGAGTCCACAAAGTCTGTATGCAATTAGCTCGGGACATCTTTCCCCCCACCAGGAACAATTCAACCAAATGACTGTGAGTACAGATTATCTCTTGCTTATGGTTTTGATGCACCATCTTCCCACAGAAGTGTTTTCTCTAATATGAGCAAAGACTTCTTTGCTGGCTTTTATTGAAAACTCTGTGCTGGCATCTGTATTCTGACGTGGGATTGCAGCAGGGGACACCAGGCAGCCTTTCCTATACTGGTTCAATTATGCTGTAAGGAAGGTTTCCCAGGGGCCCTACACCAAAGGGTGGGAGGCAGAGAATGTATCAGTAGTCTGGTCACAGCTTCTGGCTAGGACTTTGCCAACTCTGCTAGTTGTGAGGGAACATGTTTTCCTTTGTGGCGCTTGCTAGCTTTCCTTCTAACATCTGTATGTTTGCTTTGAATGCTGCCTAAGGGCTTTCACAAATGGTGCTGTGGTTGTATGGCTGGCTCTGGTTGGATTCTGTCCTGAGAGCCCCTCCCTAGGGTGGGAAGCAGCACAGTGCCTGATTTCATCTTTCAACACACCCATGGGATGACCAAAGATGAGCTGGGGGCGGGGTCCTCCTTATCCTATGGGTGTCATGATTTGAAATGTCCATGGGCAACAACAACAAAAATGCCAAACAAAAAAAAAAAAAAATCCCCCAATTGAACAATTTTCTTTCCAAAATTATCTCATCAGTATGATGTGATTTTGATAAACATTTTGCATGTGTTTACATAGAAAGAAAATTAAACAGTGCATACTACACCAAAATGTCAATCATGGTTATCAAAGAATGGTAAAGTTATGGGCTTAGTTTATATTTTTACTTCTTTTTTGATTGCCTTAATTTTCTATTATAAATGTTATACTTTCATGAGTTGAAAACAAAGTCAATTTGTAAATATATAACTTTGAGTTGCTGGTGGAAAGCAAAAGATTCTAGAAATTAGCATATTTTTGTCCTGAGACTTAACACTTCTTGGACTAAAAATAGAGTTCTCCTGTGCTTCTGGGCTGGGCATCCTTGTTTCCCAGGCCCGTTTTTACACTGGGAGGTGTGTGGGGCCACCCGCTGCTGCATTTCAGGAGTTATGGAGGGTTCTCTCGTGGGCCCCTCACAGCACTCGGGCTCCAGTTCACTGTAGTCTTCCTATAATACTGATGGCAAAGTGTCTGCCCATGTTTAGAGATGGGGTCTCT